GCCACCTCCTTGGCTGCGGCTGCCAGCGGCTCCCGAGCCCTGCCCGCTGCAGGAGGGTCCCCACAGCCCCTGCGAGACCGGGCATCACGTTTGGTGTCGCATCCAGCCGAGCCGAGCTGCCCCAAACATCCTCCCGCACCAGTAGTGGTTATGTCTTCCTCACCTTCCACCCTGCTCCCAGTGCACTGCCAACTTGAACTACCCAGAGCCTGCCATGGCCTTGGGTTGGTTGTAGTGGGCTTTAGGGCTAGCTTGGTGAAGAAGAATATTTGTTCAGACATACGCTGTGCTTGTGGCATGGAGTGACAGGGCAAGGGGGAACGGCTTCAAACTGACAGGGCAAGGTTAGGCTGGATTTTAGGGAGAAATTCCTCCCTGTGAGGGTGGTAAGGCTCTGGCACAGGCTGCCCAGAGAAGCTGTAACTGCCCCATGGAAGTCTCCACAGTCGGGTTTGAACAGGGCTTGGAGTAACCTGGTCTAGTGGAAGGTGCCCCTACCCGTGACAGGGGGTTGGATCTGTGTGACCCTTCCAACCCTAACCCCTCTATAATTCCACTATCACAAGGTCCCCAAGACCAAGCTCAGCTCTGCCACAGCCCAATTAGATCCCAAGACATCACTGGACACCCAAAATCAGCCTGAGCAGCCAGCTCAGATCACCACCGCTCCCCTGAATGCTCCAAGCCCTCCCCACACCCTTAGAGAAGCCCTCATTCACTCAGTGAGGAATTCGCTCCTTGAAAAATACATCAATCAATATTTATCTAGTGTTAAAAGCTGGTTCCTCTGTCTGACAAGCCCTGGAGAATCCAATGAGCCTGCTGGCTCCAAATCACAGCTCAGCTCCTCTACCAAAGCACCCTAAATCCAGGCTAAAAATAAATGGGCTATATTGATTGTCTTTTTAAAACTAATGCCAGGGAGTGATGTGTTCTGTGCTCAAAGAAGACCAAAGGGTATTAGTCACAGGGAAGTACAGTCACAGCCCTCCAACCCCCCCCCAGATGTAAATAAAGCCCATCTCACATCAAACCCCTTACACAAGGCCTGGGGAAGTAGCAGCAGAGCTGCAGGGTTGGTCCACAGGGGTTGTCCATGGTCCAGCACAGCTCCAAAGCCCCAGCACAGAGGTAACCCCCCAGCAGGTGACTTTTTGAGGACTTAAAAACCCCATCCCTGCACAGAGGCTGCATATGATGTGCCCAGGTAGGAACACCCCAAAGTAGCACCAAGTCAACAAAGAGGAGATTTTTGCTCACCGTGCTGGGGACACATCCTCATACCAATCCTGGTCCTCAGAGGTCAAGGGACTCTTCCCAAATTCAGTAAAAGGTGCAGCCCTTCTGCCCAAGACAAGCATCTGACCAACACCACAGCTCTGTGCTGAAGGCACCTGAGT